TGTCCTTCTTCTTCTTCTTCTTCTGGCCATGCAGTACAGACAGTCTGGACAGGCTATGATACTGAAATCATTTATGAGGCATGGAAAGAAGAGAGACGGTTAACTGAAGCCTCAATTTTCAGAGCCATTTATAACAAAACCCAAGGGTTGAGAAAACAGGGCAAAAGAAAAAAAACAGAAAAAAAATTAAAAATGATCTCCAATGCACTTTTCAGGGTCGAGGGGTTTAACCAGGGCTGAAAGCGGGGGTCCTCGTTAACCGCTTATGCGTAGTAAGTGCTAATTTAAGATTACCTTTTGTGTTTCTGGTGGCTGTTGTTTGCAGGGGCTGATTGTTGCAGGCATTCGCGAAAACAGATGTGTGAAGGATGGCCGGATTATTTACCTAGGGGATGGTAAAAGAGATCTATGCCCATGCTTGAGGCTCCATGAAGGTGACGCAATATTCGCACGAAAGGGGTAAGTGCATGTGCACGGCGCAAATGGCTTTCTTGAACGAGCAATGGAATGCCCCTTTGTTTTTTCCTCTTTTACTCTGTGTTTGTAATGACCTGACCAAACACGGACTTAGACGCAGCTGATTTCTGAGTTTAACTCATGGAATGAATATCTTGCTGAGTTTCCCGCTTGTTACTAAGTTCTCTAAGTATGTGTGTGTGCACATTTGCTGGTCTGCATGCCTGTCTGAGTGCTTGTCGGCTTGAGCGCATGTGTGACCCGCAAGGGCACCTGTTCGTTTAGTGGGCCCAAAGGGCCGTTACTTACCTGTGGCCGTGACATTGAGCATTGCAGCATGGGAAAACACTCAAGTGGCGGGGAAAGAGGCCCGCTGTCGAGCGCATTGGTCCCGCAGGGGGACCCTCCCAGCCACGTCACGCACGATTTGTGCAGGACTTTTTCGCGGTGGAGCTCTCGCCGCTCAGGCCAAGTGCGCCAGCCATACCTCTTGCGAACCCCTATGAAAGGATAGGGTCACGAGAGGTACAACTTACCTCTGCCCAAGGGGTTGTCACCACCCTGAGACAAGCGTATCCCCGCCGAGCTACCGAACCACGTGCGAAAGCTACTTAGTTGCAATCGCAGAGGTGACCCAGCCGAGGGCGTTTCTCATATGCTGTAGCATAGGGGGTACGCACGGTCGAACACCTCCATCGAACCCGTACGCGAGCCGACGCAGTGGGGGTCTGATGTCCCAAGAGCGACTCGGCGCCAGTCGACCAGGACGGTTCATCTAACCACACATAACACCACGCCAAAAACATAATCAAGTTACCCACACAAAACGCGCCTAGTCCCTTTTGTATCCAACCAAGCAGTCGCAATGATGGTGTACTATGTAGTACCCATAATCATGTGGCCCTCAATGGTCTCGAGGGTTACTTTCAACACTCAAGTGTCGAATAACACGCGCCTTGAGGGCTTAATCTCTCGACGCTAGACAACCACTAAGGCGGTTGCGAGTCCTACCCTCTTCTGCACCATGCGCAGGTTAGCGGTAGATTGGCTTCAGCCTTTTGTAGCAGCTGAACACCCCTAACATTGAAAGTGGGGTTCCACCTTTGGAGGCTTCGAAACAGGTCAAGGGGTTTGACTTCGACAGCTGCTACGGACCTTAACGTCCAACTCTAAAACCTAACAAGCAAAATCAATCAGTAAATAAACAGGCATCCCAACACCCACGTATTAATCATAACTCAAAATCAAATAGAAAGGGGAAAAGATAAGCCCATCAGGTATGTAGGTCATGCGAAATATGGTTGTCATTCCCACTGCCTCCCAAGGTAAGGCTCGTACACCAAGCTCCAAACATGTGGCGGACCCACCAGGTGTGGTGCTACGCCAGGGATAGAGATGGAGATGGAGGAAGAAGGGGGAGCGAGATGGCACAACGCAGCTCCCATGCTAGACTGTAACGCACGTACTCCAAAGTGTGCGGATGTAGAATAATCTGGAAAACATACAACAACTGGGGTATACCCCAGCGGACTGACGGGACTGGACTAGACTGGCTGGTACCGACAGAGGTACCGACCTGGACTGGACTACCCCGAATACAACACAGGGCTGTGAGAACAGGCCAAGGGGCTGGTCTCACAGGCCAACCAGAGGTCCGCTACACGATCCTCGCCCTTTGATGGATCGCCTAGATACAAGCACACTTCCATCAAGAAGCGGAAGTCTACCAAAGAAAAAGAAAACCTGAGTAGTCTAGGATGCGGAGCAAGCTCCATGCTGAGTCCATGTGATGCAACCTAGATAGAAAATGTCACAAAAACAGCAACGTCACAGCCAACAACCTATGTGAAGGCAGAAGCAACGAACTAGCATACATGTCCTAGGAAAGCAGAAAGTAATGACATCTAGATCCTAGAATGTTGAAGGCAGTAGCCTCAGTCTGGAAACAACTGACTAGTGTATAAGTCCTAAGAACAGCAAAAGCAGAACAACTAAATCCTAGAA